TAACCTAAGCACGACATAGATTTTTATCATGCTTATCCAGCACCACCATACAAAAATTAGCAGTGATTAAATCCCTCTCATAGAATTTTCTAACTTATAAATGAAAATTAATAAGCTAAATCCTCACAGTATGGAAGTTCATTAAAATTTTGCATACAGACTTACATAATTGACAACTAAGAGTTTGTTCATAAATTAACTGTCCGTTAGAGTTTAAAGTTTATTATGGACAACCCTTTAAGCATCCATTACAGCACCTTTTCCCCTTTGAAACTTCATACAGCCCAATAACCATAGCTTCCTTACTAAAAATTGAAAAACAAAACCACAGAACGAAAAAAATTGGAAAAACAAAAGATGGAACAGGCTCCAAAAATACTTGGAGCCGCCTCCAAAGGCCTTGGAGCCTCCTCCAAGTAAAAGGAGCCAGCTCCAATCCAAAAGGAGCCGGCTCTCTCCCTCATTTTCTACGTGTTCTCTTTTCCGGTATCGTCTACACCTCCGGCCCTTCACTGCTTAGGTTCCCAGAACTTGTAACTGAGTTCCAGTAGATTACCAACCCTTGTTTAAGTCCTTATTACAATTACTAACAGGGATTCAAATAGAAAACAATGCAGGAAAGTTTACAATTTAACTAGTTAAACAAGTATAACATGTACTGATACAATTTAAATTTTAAGGATGTAAACAGACAACGTTTTTGTTTTAAACATGTAACTCATTCCTGGAACTATTTACGTATGGAAAGAACACAAAGTCTAAGGGAGAGAGTTAAGACAGAACTTGCCTTATACCGATGTTCGTCTTAAATTTCCGGCGAATCCTCCGTTTGCTCTCTGTTCTTTCCCAACCGTCTCCAAAACTTCTCTCAACCTTACAATGTCGTAAGTTTATTCTAAAACCCTAGGTAAACAACTTAGGTGAATATTTATAAGCCACACTAATCCTAGGCTCCCTTAAACCCTAATTGAAATTACTCGGCCCATAGAAAACTACGTTAAATTCAATGTTGGCTAACCTATATACAACCAATCCTACAGACACGATAAAACTGATTAAAGATAATTAAAACATAACATTTAAGCAATAATTAAAACAACGAAGTATCACAAAATAATTAAATAATAATTAAATAATTAATACAATTAAATTAATAAGTAAAATAGTAACGCAAATAAACAAATTAACGACAACCAAATCAATAATTAAAACAAGTACATAAAGTAACAACCATCAAAACAATTAAATAATTAATCATTTAAAAATTGCAATTAATAATTAATGAAAAATTCCAGGACTATCCTTAGTAAAATAAGGGGTATTACAATCATGGACCTATGTATTTACCTCCGTCCGATTAACTGAAAGTATAAAATCACATACTCAAACTCAATAATTTGAAAAACTCTTTTTAAAATCTATTTTCTTTAACTGTAACATTTTTAGAGAGTGTGTATTCGAGACTTCAATAGTTAGAAAAACACGTTTTTAAATCTCTTTTCCTTACCAAAAAAAGAAGTTGTTTAGTGAGTGTGTATTGTAAACTTACAATTTATACTACCATATATGAAATACATTTAACTAAGTATTTAATATATCTTAAACTTAGAGCATCTCTAACAATCTGTTAAAATATTTTTTGTGTTAAAATATACACTATCACGTATGATGTGTAATTTTTAATTTTTTAATTCTTTTTTATCTCCAACAGTTTGTTAAGATACAATGCCACGTCACCAATGTGTAAAATTATTATGTATTTTACACCGTCTTTTTACATAACCACACCAACATATTTTCTTTCTCCTCATTCTTTCTCATTCCATTAACGAATCAACTCTATATTAAGTAGGTTTGTAAAAATTATATGGGGTTCAGACATGATAGTGATTGGTTGTTATTGAGGGATATATTTTTATATAAAAGGTATAAAACAACCATTTTGTGTAAATATATTATGACACATCAGATTCACAAAAAAAAAAAAATACGCATAATGATTAGAGATCCGCTCTTTTAACTCATAAATTATATATTAATAAAGTAAATTAAATGTATAAAGTGAAAACCTTTTTAAAGTTAAGAGTTATAAAATCAATATTTTGTCTTCATAAAGAGTTACTATATTAATTTGAAACATAACTTTAACACAATCTAATATTCCACATGCAATAGACTAAGATTTTATTTATTTATTTACAACACTAAAATCATAGAAAAACTTTAAAAACAATACTTAGGTACTCACAGGTGGCGTAGCTAGCCCCCACTATAATTTTTAATTATCTATAGTTTTTATATAAATTTTGACGATTCTTAAATTTTCCCCATTGAACTTTAAAAAAATTCACAAAAGGCCTTAAAAGTCAAAATAAAAAATGACCTCTCATTTTCTAACTTATTTGTCCAACAAAAATTTTCAAATTAAAAAAAAAAAAAAACCATGTCTTTTTCTCCTTTAGTGGATCCCACCAAAATTTTAAGCATCAAAATTAAAAAAACCGCTCATTTTCACAAAAAATTTTTGGTTTGAAATATTTGATCACATTATTGTTAATGTTTGCTCCCACTCAAGTAGGTTTATGGCTTCGCCACTAGTCCTCACCAGCGAGGATGTATACTATTCTGAACCGCTGATATGGATCAAAAACAAATGAATAGTCTTATTTTAATTACCAAATCAAAGATGATAATTAATTCACAATTTCTGATTTGGTAAATGAGTATGTACCCTATTATTTCTGATTTGGTAATTAAAGATGACATGTTAATATGTTATTGGTTCACATCAGTGGTCACGGTGGTGTACATCCTCACTGTTGAGTACCTAAGTATTGTCTAAACTTTAATGATATTAGAATAGTGATGACATGGTATTACTAAATAATTAAACATTTGCATGTGGAAATATGGCCAATTGAAATAATTATTTTCTTACTTATGTAATAAAAAATGATTGTTTAAAGGAAGATTTTTTCCTAAAATTGAAGCCTATTTGTTTCTCTTTTCTAATTGACAAGAATCACTCACACATCAACATTTAATTACTATATTTACATTTGCATATATATATATATACACACACACATACACACATATATAGAATGAACCTTGATTGTTGATACAGTTAACAAGAAAAATATCTAAAATTATATGCACATCTCTATATATGCACGAGTCCTTGGAGAACTGAAGAAAAAACTAAGGCCCGTTTGGCAACTACAGTTACTTTATGTTTTTGCTTTGACAAGATGCTTCAGAGTGTTAACGTAAATTTATTATAAGATTTTTAGAAACAAAAACATGAAAATATGTTTGTTAAAAAGTGTTACAAGTTTAAAAACTTGAATGGCTAGTTAAAAATGTTATATTAGATATATATATATATATATATATGTATATATATATATTTTTGAACAGTAGTGCGGAAGCAAATAAAAGCATCATTTTGATGCTTCCGATTTTAGCCTCAATTTTGGAAGCACTTCGTTACTATTTAAATGACAACAAATATTACCAAATATGCTTCGTACATTAGCAAAAGCAAATAATACAAAGCAAAAGTATTAGCCAAACGGACCCTAAAGTGTTGCATGTGATACCAACCAAGATAGCAAAAATGACAATAAGGACAATAATATAATGTGTTAGAAAGGACAAATTTTATAGTTATTCTTTGTATAATTTACTAAAGTACTTATTTATTTTATTTTTAATAATCGTGTTTTATAAAAGATTGCGAGATTTTGTTTAATTAAAATGGTAAAAAAATATTACTCTTTCATCAAGATGATAATAATATACCTTTCGCAAAGTGAAACTAAAGTACTTATTATTATTATTTTTTCAAAAATTGAAATAATTGCTAGAGACAAATTAATTTTCTAATTGTTTCCCTTGGGCTTTATATGGCTTGCTTTGTTTACTTTATTGGGTTGTACTTCGGCCTCTTGGCCCATTTTCCTTCGGGCTCTCTGTGTAGGGTTAGCTATTGCTAACCTGCTTTGGTTACATTAACATATTTTATTTTACAGTTCAAAAAAAAAAAAAAATAATAATAATGTTAATAATAATAATAATAATAATTTTCTAATAGTATTTTTTCTTTACCAGTTCTTTTTTTCTATGCAACTTATTGTTTCATCTTCTCAATATTTTTCTTTTGTATATCAATATTTTATCTCTATTTATTTTGAATCAAGAATACAGAAACAAAAACATCAAGAAATACGGGTCTTTGTCAGACTGAAGCAACCGATGCTATCCGTAAGGGTTTCACATTTCAATTAGGGCGTATGGTTAATCTGGTTACCAAATTACCTTAAAATAGTCACTAAAGACAGATTAATAACTAACCATCTCTTGTGAACTTTAAAGACACTTTAAAGCATATTCCTTTTAATTAACCAAAAAAAAAAAAAAATCCTTTATAAATAAATTGACAAAAAAGTGGGATTGATTATATATGTATTGGGTAAATAGACTTTTATTTAAGAACTGTACAAAATAGACAAACCACCTGGCTAACAGCAAATATAGCCGATTACAACCCAAAGGCTCAAAAACATATTTCAAAGAAAGGCTACCATCCACAAGTATAAAAAAACATCAAACACTATATATATATAAATATATATATATATCATGCAGTCATAAAAGGAAGGTGACAAAAGGGTAGACTGAAAAAGAAATCCAATCCCAAGATTTTAAAATCTGATCCAATGGACATGCTTAAGATTTCAGCCAAATGATGGACATTGACAACAAACGTCTAGAAAGCCAAAGGGAATAAACTAATTCTATCCATATGCATATCTATTCAAATGACTTGCTCGACGTAATCTAATTATAATTTTCCTAATAAACAAAAAAAGTACGTACAGTTATATAAATACACACACACATATTTATATATATAGTAGAAGGTACCTTTGGGCTTCAAATCAAAGTTAAGAGACAAATATTCCTCTTAGCTATCTCAACCCATTACGTATACAATCATGTCGACCTTGCTTACGCTTTTATTTCAGTGGTGTTCTTTGCTTTCTCTAATCTCCTCAACCATTAATGTGTCTGCAAAAATACATGGAATGCCAAGGCTCGGCATGTTCGGAGGAAAATACCTACAAGAACGTGGAAAAGAAGCACAAACACTAGCAAAAAAAGCCAAAGACTCGAAAGAGTTTAGAACCTTTTTCTATACCCAAACACTTGATCACTTCAATTATAGGCCTCAAAGCTATACCACTTTCAAACAAAAATATGTGATAAATTCCAAACACTGGGGTGGCGCAAAGAAAAACGCGCCAATCTTCGTTTATCTTGGTGAGGAGTCGCCATTGGAAGAAGTACCTGATTCTGGGTTTCTACACGATAATGCCCATCGTTTTAAAGCTCTCTTAATCTATATAGAGGTAGAATACTAAATCCAAGGCCTCTTGCTTTATAGTTTATATATATATATTTGTGTGTGTGTGTGTGTGTATGATATTTCATTGGATTACTAGTATTTATGTTAAACTGCATGCATGTTAACACGTTGCTCATTCATATATTAGCATCGGTTTTATGGAAAATCAGTTCCATTAAGATCATTTGAAAAAGCCATGAAGAATGTTACTCTTCGCGGTTATTTCAATTCAGCACAAGCATTAGCAGATTATGCAGAGATAATCTTGTACGTCAAGGAGAAATTTCATACACACTACTCTCCTGTTATTGTCTTTGGAGGATCCTATGGAGGAAGTAAGCAAGAAAGCAACTCTATATTATATTAATTAACCATTAATTACCCAATTTTATATATATATATATATATATATATATATACACACACACACACACATCATTTAATTTTTCTGTCTGAATTAATTTCCATGCATATTATACTTAAAAAATTTCAGTGCTTGCAACATGGTTTCGGCTACACTATCCCCACATCGCTCTCGGAGCTCTAGCCTCATCTGCCCCTATCCTTTACTTCGATGACATCATTCCACAAAACATGTATCATTCCATTGTCACAAAGGATTTCAGGGTACGTATGTACAAATTAATTACATATTAATTTGAGTCATTAATTCAAATGGCATCCATGCATGGGTGGTCTATATAATTAATGAAATACGTACTAACTGTTGCAGGAAGCCAGTGAGAGTTGCTATCAGACTATAAAAAATTTATGGTCTGAAATTGACAAAGTTGCTTCTCAATCAAATGGTGTTTTAATTCTTAGCCAGAAATTCAAAACTTGCAAGTAATTATTTAATTATATACCATAAATATATATAGTCTTGATTAAATTAATTTTCCTTACAAATTAAAACTGAATGATTTTCCAATTACTTAATTGGTTCAGGCCATTAAACGGTTCGCGTCTCCTGAAGGACTACTTAGAAGGCCATTATATGAATGCAGCTCAATATAATGGTCCACCAACATATCCGGTAACTAAGATCTGTCAAGCCATTGATGGAGCACCTAAAGGAACCGATATCCTTGGCCGAATATTTGCTGGGTTGGTTGCCTATAAAGGGAAAAATTCATGCTATGATATGACGCCAACGCCTAGTCAAACCGAAGTGGGGTATGATTGGCAAGTAAGTGTCATATATATATATATATATATAAGCCTTTCTTTTTTTTCTTTTTTTTTTTTTTTTTTTTTTTTTCTAGTTAGTATTTACACACACTTGTCTCTTTTGAGATTTGAACCTCGAACCTCCTTTTAAGAAGTAAGAAGCTGTTACTACTAGGCCACTGAGCATTGATTTTTATAAATATCTATTTCAATTGGTCATATTTCAATTAATTTTCTAATAACATTTCTTAAGAATCTTGAAACATAAAAATTCTGTTTGAAAAATTATACTGCGTAGAAGAGTTTTAGAAACTATCAATCGAGCAAATGATTTTTTTACAATTTTTCTAATTTTATGAAAATTAAACGTAACAAATCTAAAAATTTTCTTCATGTAAATTATTGGTTGGTGTGTTTAGACATGCAGTGAGATGGTGATGCCCTTTGGTTCGGATGATATGTTCCCAAATCGTCAATTCAATTTAAGTGACTTCACCAAGGAATGCATCAACACATTTGGCGTCCCACCAAGACCTCATTGGGTCACAACCTATTATGGAGGACATGTATGTACCTTTAATTTGGTGTGTGTGTGTGTGTGTTTTTTAATCTTTTTTTTATTTTATTTTTTTATTTTTAAGTTCTTCTGATAATTATTATATTCATTATAGTAATATACTAATTAATAACTTTTAGAAGTTATGAAATACTTTTCATGGCTCAATGTAGGATATAAAATTGGTTCTCCAAAAGTTTGCTAGCAACATCATTTTCTCCAATGGACTGAGAGATCCTTATAGTGGTGCCGGGTATGTATCTGAAAAATACAATTTTTTTTTACAATCATTTTCAGATACATAAAAGTAATTAATTTGTCAATGTCTATTTGCCCTAATATACTTGTTTTCTCTTCGATCACAGGGTATTGGAGGACATATCTGACACTATTCTTGCCGTCCATACTGCTAACGGTAGGTGGATCCAATCAATCCGGCCAAACAATTTATATATAAATTCCTGCTAGCTCAGCTTACAATTACATGCATTATACAAAATTAAGATTTACATCTACGTGTGTACATATATAAATTATTCAAGAAACTTATAATATTATATCAAAAAAATCTCAAATATATATACTTGATGCCCGATATTATGTGAACTCTTCTTAGATCTTTGTACGTAAAATATATTGGTAAACTGCAAACAAATTCATCTCAACTTTCACTATTATTAATTACCGAGAAAAAAAAACAGCTCTCATGCACGATTATTTTTATTTATTTGTTTATAAAAATTCTTGAGTTTTCATTTTAGTACAAAACTCCTAATACTATTCCAAAGTTCTTTTTATCATTTTACAACTATTGTTATTTCTATTTTTTATATGTGGGGTAAAGTGGTAAATTAGATGTATGTTAGCGACAATTTAACTCAAATAGGTGAATGGTTCATAGTTGCATCACCAATGATGGTTAGAAAACCTTGAAAGTTAATGGTGGAGGGGGGTTTGCAGTTAACCCTACAACCAATATATATATATATATATATATATATATGCATGAAGATACCCAAATTACTCCTCAAATTAAAATAGCATTAATGTTTCAAGAGATTTACAATATCTATTTTTATTTGCAGGATCTCATTGTTTAGACCTACTAGGAGCAAATAAAAAAGATCCATATTGGTTGGTCGAGCAACGACAGAGAGAGGCTGAGATCATTAAAGGATGGATTAAAAAGTACAATGTTGATCTTTCATCCATGAAGAAAAAATAATAATTGTTAAGCATTTTAGTATTACAATAAGGATGTAACAGCAGAACTGTTTACTGTATATATCTAACTAATTTTCTTCCCAAAATCGTTACAAGATTTAAACATGTATTCCTCGTAATTTTGTGCAGCATTTTATTTATTTTATTTTTCCTTCAAAAGTTAAAGAAACACATACTTGCAATATGATAAAGATTGTCTCAAATTGAGCAAAAGGACTTCTTATTTTTAATTAACAAACTTAATCCTTTGGAACAATAAAGGTTCCTCACCTGGCACACCAAAAGTAGTCATTTTATATCTATTTTTATTATTTTCAACTAATACAACTATATACCATTGGATTTTATAATCATCATCTTGATCAAAAGCATCTTATCAAATTTGAGAAGGAAATTAATTATTCAAATTGAATACTTTTTGAAAATGATAAAAGTTGGACTTATATATATATATATATGTATATGAAGGATTGATAGCTGATATTCTCTTCAATATAGAACTGAGTAGTGATGTTGATGTCCCACCATTTTGTTTATTTCCCACCATTTGTTTGTTGGTTTTATCTGTTTTTACCAAAGGTTGCTTATAAAAACACACACAAACACACACTACATATATTAATAAAGGGAGGCAATATCCGCAATTCATTTTTCTAGGTTTGCACTCCAATCTTAAAAGAAAGGGCAATACTAATCATAACTTTACAAGGAAATGATTATTATTTTTCACACGACACAACTACCCTTTCAGATTTTCTCTTTTTGTCTCTAATCTTTAATATTTTAGGTCAATTTTGACAAGATAAAATAATAAAAAAAAGTCAATTTTGACAAGATAAAATAATAATAAAAAGTTATCTCCAGTGAATATATATAATTTTTTACAGGACCAAAAAAACATATATTATCGAAAAATAATTTTATTTTGTTCAATAAATTTTTGATTGGACCCAAAAAAAAAATCTATTTTGACAGGAAAAGTAATTCCAAAAAATTGTTTATTGAAGAAAGTATCTCTTTTGTTATGATCGTATGAACAATTAAAAAGATAATTTTTTTTTTAAAAAAAATCTATGTTGAATAAATTATAATTATCTGTTTTGATAAGACAAAAAAATGATATTTTTATTGAATAAATTATTTCTTTTGATTGGACCCATAAAAAAATTACAAATAAAAAGTTTTTATTTTTTATTTTTTATAGTTAAAAGGTAAGCATGTATAGAAGAAAAGAAGAATATACAAGGAGCCCCCAAGAAGGGGGAGAAGAACTTGATTCCCATTTAGAGAGGCATATATAACATGTATTGGTGAAGTGCTTGTGCTTCATTAGTTTGGTATCCAGTGTGTATAGTCTCTTTTGATTGCTAGCCAAGTAATGTGGCTATGTTTAGGGATTAGATGCTTGAACCAAATGAGCTTGTGCCAAATAAATGACAGTGAGGAAGGCTTGAAGTAATCCATAGTGTGCTTCTGAGAAAATCCAATATGTGTACTTGGTAACTATTCAATCAAATCAGGTAACATGATGGGGATTGCAAGCTTTGAATCTGAGTAATTAAGGAGTTAGAGTGAAAGAAAGATCTCTTTTGATGGTCAAAAATAAAATTATCTCTATTGAATAAATTAACTTCTTTGAGAGGACTTCAAAAATAGAAAAAGGTAAAGTATAGCACAGAGAAAAAAAAAATAGTAACAAATGTAAAGAAGGTAAAAAATAAAAATAAAAGAAAAAAAGTTAAGGTTATATAAATGGTAGTAATGGCAGTTTAAAATAAGGGATGATGTAAATGAATTCAAGGGCCTTCTTGTCGTGCAATCGGAGAAAAGTGGAGTGCCAATAAAATTATCTCTTTTGAATAAATTATTTTCTTTGAGAGGACCTCGAAAATAGAAAAAAGTAAAGTATATAACATAGAGAAAAAAATAGTAACGAAAGTAAAGAAGATAAAAAAATAGAAGAAGTTAATGTTGTATAAAGGGTAGTTATGGCAGTTTAAAATAAGAGATGATGTATTAATGAATTTAGGGGTCTTCTTGTCATTTCTTTTATAAGAAAATGATAAGTGGAATGTAATCAGAGAAAAGTGGAGTGCCAAGATCGCCTCGCTTAATAAATAAACACACACACACACACACAAAATATTGAAGAATAGGGCTGAGATGAATCAATTGGGATCCTTTGAGAATATTTAAAAGTTGTTCTTGGAAGGATGCGCTTCTTCGAAGGATGTGTGAGATATATTTTATAATTGGCTAATTTCATTGTCATAATAAGTCCGATCGAGTTATAATTTTTTAGTTCAAAATTTCAAAGATTGAAGATCGGATGTGGATTTGAAGAAGTTCAAGTGTTCATGGTATACTACACTCTGGGATGATGAGAACAATACTTTAGGAAGGTATGTGAGTGAGTAAGAACACTTTAGGGAGTTTAGAAGGTTGAAGGAAACATAGATTTCACTTCTGTCAATTGGAAACCAGTAGGAGAATCCTTGAACCAGTAGCAAACCTTGGTCCACAACAGGTTTGGTCACTACCCTTATTGAACCGGTACCACAGTTGGGAACCGGTAGCTAAAGTGCATCGAAAAGGCTTTTGACCTTCTTAAGCTGGTACCAGGATTGGGAACTGGTACTAAGAGTCCTGGCAGCATTAGAACTTTCAGTTTTTTCTTCTGTTTGTTTCCTTTTTGATCCCAACTTCTTTCCAAGTTCTATGCACGAATTTTTTCATACTTTCAGAGGAACTAGAACATTCTAAACTCTACATAAACCTTGTTAGTTTTCAAGGTTTATTTATGCCTTTAAGGAACATTAATTCTATATTTTGAAAAAGCCTTTTAGAGAGAAAAAATTCAGAAAATTAAATCTGATTATTTTGAATTTATTTTTGAGAGCACACATATATATTTATGAGTGATTTAGTTGTGTTGTTCTCTATCTCATCGGAATTGGAGCTATATTGAAGATTCTGATATTCGGTATGAAAAATATGATTTAATTCTTCTACATCGAGTTCAGATCTTGAAGAACAGAAATAAAAACGATCACACTTTGAAAGGATTGGAGCATTCGAGGAGTGTTATTTGATTTACCTGCTACTCTTTTACAAATATCAAGCATAAGTCTGAGGTCAAGTTACTATTGGACGAGGAGTTGCAAAGCTAGAGGATTGTCAGCAATTGGTGTTTGGTAGAACGATAGGGTGTGAGGCAGAATCAAAGTTCAGTGTACTTTGTTTCAAACATAGTGGATCGGTTTAATTTAGACGAAATAGTCCACGAGGTTTTTCCCATGCAAACAGTTGATGTATTTTATCAACTGGGGTTTCATCGTTAAAAATCCTGGTGCAATCTCTTTAAACTTTTACTTGCTTTACTTTACAGTATTTATATAATTTAATTAATAATTTAAATTGATCATATACTTTAATCAATCATAAATTGAGCAAGTTAATCTAAGAATCAGATCTAGATCATTAAAGGAGTTAATCACCATTAAAATCAACTAACTATTTTTTCACTCTGCGTAACTCTATTTTCACAATTTGGTATTAGAGCGTGATACTTGATATATAGAATAGATCTTATTAGTTGATTTATTATTGATTTTTGCATCATGTCTGAAAATTCATCTTTCGTTGATGTGTTGCCTTTTTCTCCTGTTTTTGATTCTGTCACAAGCATGCAAATTGAGTGGTCAAAGTTTAAAAAGGATTTTGAAAATTTGTTAGAGAAATTAAATCTTGCAGAACTTGATAAAGATATTTATAAGTTAGAAGTTTCTGTCTCTAATAAAAATTTGGAAGAAATTGGCCATAAAAATTTGAATCTTTTTCATAAGATTGATTTTCTGGAAAAGGAACTTAATAAGGTAAATTTGTTTAATAAATCACTAGAACTTAAAATTGATAATTTGAGTAGTGAATTTGTTAAGTCAAAATAGTCTTTTCAGAAAGTTGATATTGACACTTGCAAAATTGATAAGTTGAAAGAAGTATTAGGAGTAACAAAGATTTGGCATCAACTTCAAAAGATTTGTGTTTTAAAAAATCTAAAGATGTTTTTGTGAAAGTTGAAACCAAACCTTGTATTATTTCTAATTCTTCTAAGCTTATTTCAACATGTCATTTTTGTGGTGAAAAAAGGCATATCAAGTATAAGTGTCAAAAAAGAAAAATTAAATTAGGAAAGAAATTGAAAAATCTAGAAAGCTCAAATTTGAGGAAGAAGACGATTAGGACTGTTGAGCCTAATGACACTTTGCCTAGAACAATAGGGAAATCATTGCATAATGAATCTATAATTGTTTGGGTAAAGAAAAAAAAATTTAAATGCCTTACCATGCATATTGCACTTAAAGCACTTGGTCCATGTGGTTGATACTTTGATAGTGGTTGCTCTAGGCATATGACAAGGGATAGAACATTGTTTACCACTTTTAAGGGATGCTCAGTTAGTACTGTTACTTTTGGTGTTAGTAATGCTTCTACTGTAAGTGGTAATGGTACGATCAAATTTTCAGGAATTGTGGAGTTAAAAAATGTTCTATATGTTAAAGATTTAGCTGCTAATTTGTTGAGTATTAGTCAAATATGTGATAAGGAGTTTTAAGTCAATTTTACTCAACAAATGTGCTTTGTAACTAATGAAAAAGGTGAATGCATCTTGAAAGGAACTAGAATTTCTGATAATTGCTATGTTGTATTTTTAGATCCTTCACTAATGTGTTTTTCTGCAGTTACTGATCGATGAGGCAATTTTATAGCATAAAAGACTTGGACATGTGAATTTTAATGATTTAGTAAATTTGTCTAATAATGATTTTGTTCGAGGTTTACCTAAATTGAAGATGCCTAAGAATGAAGTATGTGGTCCATGTCAATTAAGAAAACAAACTAGAGTGTCACATAAGAGACTTATTCATAAAGTCACTTCTCGACCTTTAGAATTGATTTATATAGATTTGATGGGTCGCATAACACCTGATAGCATTGGAG